GGGAAGCCGGAGAAAGCCGGAACCAGTATAATGCCCCACAGCCCCCTCTGCTACCCCCAGTGCAGGACAGAGTACGTTCCACTCCCCAAGAGCATGCTGGAAAACTGTGCGACCCAAAACATGGGCACTCCGACCATGCGCTGAGCGAGGTGGGTGGGATCTCAGGGATCTTCATACAGATGTCAGGCCTCCTCATACAGATGTCTAAGGTGGCTGGGAGAGACTTGGGAAAAAAAGACATCCTGGCCAGAGTACTGACCATGTCACCATATTGTTCGTTTCTTGACCCCTTCCTTATCCTAACACTTCCTTGGACGGTCAAGCTCTCTGTCTCTGGTTTCATGGTTTTCCAAACCTGGGTAGGTGTTATGCAACCACAAGGGTTTCCCAGAGAAATTCTGGGAACACTCCCAGTTCCTGTCCAAAGTATGAGGTATATTTTCTTGAGTTATGTATTTCTTGCTTTTCTGGAAGGGACGCCCTTGCTTACCCTGACCTCTAGTGAAAGGTCGACCTTTGACCTGCTGTGTGATCTTGGAAGAATCCTAAACTCTCTCTGGTCTTGATTCTCTGTCTCTAAAATGAGAGTAGGAATGAAATGTTGATGCTCATGGTCTCTAAGATCAACTTCTAACTTAACCTTGCAGTTAGCGTCCTGTGACGGGGGTGGAGGTTGGGGTCCGGGCGGAGGGCTTGGGATCTTTAATTTAGATTTTAGAATGTTCCCATATTCCAATCCCCTAGGGACCCTGACGCTTAGCAGTGGCGGGTGCGCCATCTATAAGGGCAATTTGGCTAAACTGTCTTCGGATAATTCCTGTCCCAGCACCAGGTAGAATGCTCAAGCTCAGTAGGGATGGAGTTTACTTAATGCAAATGAAGGAATGAACAGAGGAGCCCTGGCAGTCCCTTCCGTTCTTCTGTCTCTCCACTCCGGTCTGACCTCCGGTGCCTCCTTTCTTGCCTCCCTAGTTTCTAGTATCTGCAAGTTCCAACGCCACTTGCTGCGAATCCGCCCCGCGCTCGGTCACAGATGTGGCCTCAAGCTCCACCCCGGCGCCGGGTCTCTGCTGCGCACCCTATGATAGCCGGCTGCTGGGCAGCGCGCGCCCGGAGCTGGGTGCCGCCTTGGGCATCTATATCCCGGCTACCTGCCCTACGGCCCAGAGCCGCCCTCGCTGTATGGCGCGCTGGTAAGTACGTGGGTGGGGCCTGGGGCAGCTTGCGGAACACTGCGGCCTGCGGGCGTGAGCTGCAGCGGCAGATGAAATCCTGCACGACATCTCCAGGGAAATCTAGGAAGGATGTACAACTCTAAGGGAAAGAAATGGTTAGGACTGAATAGAAGGAAAAGAACTACGTCCTTACATTTCAGTCTGACAAACTCCATACGGTTTAGAACATAATTGTACTTCTATTAATTCTATGAGATAAGCAAGTCATTATTATTCTCAATTCTCAGGCGAGGAAGTTGAGGTGCAGAGGGGTTCAGATGCCTTACCCAAAGCCACAAAGACAGGAAGGGTCAGGCGGGGGAGAAGTCCGGAAGGAGAGCAGGTCAGGGCCCACGCTGGGGGGTGGGGGAAAGGGTCAGAGTAGTGGCGGTGATGCCTACCTAATATTGAACTCCTGTTTACTCTGCACTTGGGGACTCTGCATAGCACTCTACCAGGATGGTCTTCACTAGCCTCTAGGTACTATAGTCTTATAGTCATTTTACCAAGGGAGAAACTGAGGCACAGAATGGTCAAACAATTGTGTCCTAGGTCACACATTCCATGAGAGTGGTGGTACCAGGATTTGAACCAGAGTCCATGCCCTTCGTAACACTCCCCCTGCTTCTTTCCCAAGTATAGTCCTGAATTCTTTTTTCTTCTCCCACCAGAACCCACAGTATGACTTTAAAGAGGCCACAGGGAGTTTTACACCCAGCCTGGCACAACCAGGAGCCTATTATCCCTATGAGCGGTCTCTGGGGCAGTACCAGTATGACCGGTAAGAACCCTTGATAGCTGGCACTACCTGCCAAGGTGGGGTCATTGGTGGAGGGAGGGAGGAGGGGAGAGCAAGCGTGGAACCGTATCCAGGCTACACACTGTCCCCAGCCCTGAAGCCCCTGTTCTCAGCCTTCAACGTGAGCCTGCCTGTCCCACAGGTATGGCTCCGTGGAGTTGAGTGGCGCTGGGCGCCGGAAGAACGCCACCAGGGAGACCACTAGCACGCTCAAGGCCTGGCTCAACGAGCACCGCAAGAACCCCTACCCCACCAAGGGAGAGAAGATCATGCTGGCCATCATCACCAAGATGACCCTCACCCAGGTGTCTACCTGGTTCGCCAACGCGCGCAGGCGCCTCAAGAAGGAGAACAAGATGACGTGGGCTCCCAAGAACAAAGGCGGAGAGGAGAGGAAAGCGGAGGGTGGAGGAGAGGAACCGCTGGGCTGCCTAAACGGGGACACCAAAGGTACTGGAAATGTTCACACCCCACCTCCTGGACTTTACAAGCCTCGAGCAACTTGGGCTTTCGAACTCACCCATTGCATAGATTTTTCTGGAAGGGGCACCCTTCCTTCCCCGACACTGGTATCCCCTGTGTGCCTCAGGGCCTTTGCTCCTGAGCTTCCCTTGGCCTGGAATCCCTATTGGATGGCTTTTAAACATCAGTGTCACTTCAGAAAGGCTTTCTCTCTGCGTCCTACCCTGAGGAGCTTCCCAATTATTCTCTAACGTCACAGCTTGTCTTGTGTCCTTTGCCTCCTCGGCTGTCTGCCCCTTCTAGACGATCAGCTCCAATAGAGTATGTCTTACCTACTGAATACCTACTGACTGTACCTAAATGACAGCTAGAATAGTTGGTGCTCAGTAACTATCTGCTGAGTTAAAGGCAGCCACCTGCGGTGTTGAAGTTGGGTTAAAAACTGTCCTGGCTTTTATTTGCAAATTGCGGAACGGAGATCCGGGACTCCAGCAGTCTAAGTGGGCGTTTCCTTGGCTTGACGCTGCGGGGGGGATGGGGAGATGGGGGGTGGGGGG